TATTGCCTTGTTCATAATTCTTTGACATTGAAAAAAGTTAAAATTTTTAAGTTACGAACAGTATGGGAGAAAGCAGTTAAGTAGTTTGTCTGTGTGCAGACATGTGTGCCGATAAAAAATTTTCGGCGGCAGCGATTGAAATTTTTAACATAGGCGGCGGCGCGAAGTTATAAAAATTTCATCCGCCTTCGGCGGCGGCGGTGTGTAAAAATTGATTATCGGCGGTGAATCTCCTAATTTAAGTAAAACAAAGTTCTCTCTCATTTCTGGCACGTTCTTCACGCACCAACTGTATCTGTACGTTGTCGTATACGAAAAGATAGAAACGCGCTGCATGCTAGATGCCTAAGGTAAGAATGTACTAAAAAAATAGTCAAACTTTTCGGAAAAAATTTTTCTCCGTTCTCGGCAGCGACAAAAGATTAACGGCATGGCGGCGGCGGCAGAAGTCACAACAACTTTTCTCCGCCGTGAGCGGCGGCGGCGCACATCTCTGTCTGTGTCTGATATTCGCTACTTTTGCAGCAACTACTGAGTACTGAACTTGAGTACTGAATGTACTCAAGTGTGAGTATTCAGACGCATATTCATGCTGAAAAATATGAGAAGTACATATGAATACTCACACATGTTTTTACTCATTGAGTACTCGCATGAGTGAGTAATCAGTACTCTGGGTATAACTTTGAGTACTCATACTTGAGTATTGTTGAGTTTAACTTTTGGCAAAATAGTCATGAGTTGTTCATCTGGTATTTTCATATAGAGGAGTGATCTCAGACAGCCAGAGTAGTCCATTTCTGACTATATATAGAGAGACCAACGAGAAAAAAATATAATATAAATATTCTATGTTTCTTCCCTAAATTCTATGTGCTTTATACAGTTTCATTTTAGCAAAATAAACCGACGAATGAATAATTTCTGAGTGCTAGAAGAAAATTGTTATTAGAACTCATATGAGTACTCATGAACGAATTTTGAGTAAAGTCGTACTCATAGTATGAGTACTTTCACTAGGGTAAGCAAGTTCTTTTAGCCAAGCGTCGAGTTCATCGTAGATGGACGTTGATGGTTTTGATATTTCGTCCAGAGGTTGTTCGATTTTCCAATAGGCGTCAAAATGAGAGTCCAGTGAAATCTTGATTTTCAGTGATTTGGATGCTAATGAGTTACATGCAGTCCGATATAAAATCAATAATAGACTCATTCAGAAAGGCATTTTATGAGAACAGAATATGGATGGCTCCATTTTTCAACGACTTGTAGAACATATTTTAGAGTGTCAACGAGAAAAAATCTTTTGAAGTGGAAACAAAATCGTGAGAGACTCGCTGTGTTAAAAGATTGGATCCTCGGATAAAAAAGACCAACACGATTCTTTGAAAAATGTATAAATCTCAAATCTGCCATCTGGGAAAATCATCCGACTATGAAAAAAGATAAAGAATATAGGATAAAAACTAATGCATAGGAGTTTATTGGAGACGAAAACCGAGTTAATCGTTAGAATCAATCATTTTCTGCGCCGCTTATGGCAAAAGAAGAAAATAACATGAAAGCAGTTAGAGCAAATGTTAGTCGGTCCGACTCAAGCTGAATTGCCACCTTTATGATTTTTCCCAAAAGCCTATAAACTGAATATCCTCTTGAGATCCATTGTTGCTGGAATTAAATCTCTATTTATGAAGATCTCAAAATTTCGTGATCAACATCTTCGACCATTGTTCGATACAATGGCTAAAGGTTCGTCGATTACGGGTAGCATTTATTTGTTGAACGTCTACGAAAATGGACACAGTATAAACTTTTTTTATAGTTATTCATCAAAATCTGCTGTCCTTGTCATAGTTGTATTAAAAACGCTGTTCAAGATTATTCGAGGTAGTAGTATGGACTTTCCGCAAAAAATTGGAAGCAAGTAGGTGTAACGTCACTACGTCACATTGGTCTGTAGATATAAGAGATTTATCTCGAAGGTCGATATTTATTAATAACTTGCTCAAGCCCAAAGGAGAGATAACTATTATAATCGGGTACACCATGCCACAGTAGACAACGACATCATATTTAGGTGAAAAAACGAAAGTACGCTTTTTCAAGATTTGAGTAGCAGGTCATATATTTCAGCATTCGCTCTATCTTTTTGGCATTGGAAGTTTTTTTCTAAGTGCCATAGTTAGTGAGAAAATCGTTAAGTTTTTGCCGGAAAACAGAGTGATGAAGATAGAAGAATCAGTTTTAGTAAAACAGAACATGATAATTGTAAAAAGCACACATAGTTCGAAACTAGACCTTTCACTCTGTCTATTCGTTAAAAATTTTTTGTTTTTGAGAGACGCTTTGGAACCGAGAAAATAGTGTTTCTTTCTCTGCTAAGTGTTTTTCGAAGAGCGGTCCTCCATACAGTGAGCGCATCAAGTGTAGACAAGCTCCAAATTCAATGAAATTTTCATAGAAGATGCATCTACTAACGATACATCGATGCCGTTAGCACAAATGTTTCTGGGCCGACTTACAAGTTTTCCGAAAACCCTTGGTTTTTTAGATAAACCCGGATTATCTGAGTTCATGAGCATTGAAACTAAAAACCAATAATATATTTGGAATCAGTGCAAAAACCGCGTCGAAGGGTGTATAATTCAGCCGTGTTAGTATGGAAACTTTTGAATTTAGTTGATTCCTTTGTTTCTTGCATGTGCGTATAGGGATTTTTGAGTGAAAGTTTAAAATTTGAAATTATCAACAGATGAAATCGTCTAAACACTATTTCTATAGGTTATCAACGATTCTTTATCCAATGCAATTGTTTTTGAATTTTTTAAAGATTTTCTACGTGGTTTTCTAGAGATCGGATCTCTGGAAAACCACTTAGAAAACCTTTTTAGGGCTCGAAAAGCATTCCATCAGATAGAGTACACAAGATAACCTATATAAAACGCGCTTTTAAGTTTTCCTCTAGCTTGCAGGCCAAAAGACCGCGTGTCTAGTGAAAATTGCCCACTGTGCATGTAAGAACAGTAGAATATAAAAATATCTTATATCTCCTCAATTTGTCCGTAACTGGTTTATAACGCCGAATCGTACAAGGCAACATTAAAAACGTAGGTGTGTGCAGTGAACGTTTAGTACATTCTATAGAAATTATTTTTGTTGTTGAAAAAGAATTATATTTTATTACCTCAAGAAAAATATCAAATTGAAATTGACTTTAACGATAGAAAAAATGTGATAAAATATGACCCGTATATATTTTAGATTATTATAACCGCTGTTGTGTACAATTGTTCTAGCAAATGCACGTAAAATTCTTTGGATGAAAAATAGAATATAGATTGTTCTTTCTTTTCTTTCCAGTATACTTTGACCAATGACATTACAATATATTGACTCATTGCTATACGTCATTAAATAACAATTTAATGAGTCATACATCCAACGATGCTTGAGATAAAGACGAAGGAAAGGAGAATCAATTTTCTTCCAGATAGAAAAAATTCAAGTTGAAAAGGGTGCGATCTGGTGTGTAGCAGAAGTGGGTAAGATCGTTTGATCTCTTCAATATTTTGCGTGACGGATTATACTTTTTAAAACTTTTGACAGCAAAAGGAAGTGTCACAAAATCTCCATTCAGCTCACTTCTGTTGTATACGCTTTTTTTCCAACTAACATCAACGAACGTTAGCGTTGCTGAAAAGGTTTTATCAACTGTATGACAGGGGGAAATGAGGGTGGAGTTTTTTGCATTCAATACCTGTGCCTCATTATTTGTTATTTCTTTTCCCGGTTTAGCTCTACAAAAATACATGGTGTTGAAGCAGACGTTCTTCTGCCTGGAAAAATCAAGGAAAAGTTTCGGTATTTGAATTCAATGACAGATTCACTTAAGTTCAAACTAGACTTAGAAATCAAAATTTTGAAACGAGTTTTTTTACTCGAGGATGTTTTCTAGTTCTTAAGAGTCGATCGTCAGTTTTTTGGTATAATCGCAATCCACAAATATATCAGGATGTACTAGTGCAATCGACCTCTTTCGAAATGTACAATTTTGACAACTAGATAAAATGAAGCGTTGTTGTTGAATGGAGTGAACTTTTTTCAATGTTTGTCCCATCTGATTTATGTTCGTTTTATACATACAGCGTCGCTCAAAATTATTGACTTACCTTTAGTTTTACTTTTTCTCTTCAACTATAATACCTAGAATAGATGTGAATAGCTGAAATAATTTCCAATCTGATTTAATAAAGGTATCATCGAAATGTCTGAAACCAGGATCTTTGGAAAACTAAAATCTCAGAAGAACACATCTTCGAATTTGATGGAGAAACTTTTTACAAATAACTCGATCATATAGAGCTAACATTTCTGAACAAAATCAGATGTTCTCGAGCCTGGAGCTCTTTACAACATTTTTTCATAAAACAGCATACAATTTCCAAAAGGCCCTGAGCGTATCCCTTTCGTGTTTTCCCCGTTAGTTTTGCTAATTTTGATGGTATGGGACCTTTCGTAAACTGCATGTTGTAGAGAGCTTGAAGATGTCTGATTTTGTTCAGAAATGTTAGCTCTATATGATCGAGTTATTTGTAAAAAGTTTCTCCATCGAATTCGAAGATGTGTTCTTCTGAGATTTTAGTTTTCCAAAGATCCTGGTTTCAGACATTTCGATGGTACCTTTATTAAATCAGATTGGAAATTATTTCAGCTATTCACATCTATTCTAGGTATTATAGTTGAAGAGAAAAAGTAAAACTAAAGATGGGTTAATACTTTTGAGCGCCACTTAATTGTATATATTTATATATATCGTTTTATCTATCTTGAGAAAAGAATGGAAAGCTTCAAACATTTTCTCTTCTGATTAGTATCAAGTGTGAATGGTAGTTTATGTCTGTTGAAAGCTAGCGAAAAGCTTACTAGTCGTCGTTCATCTAGTTTTAGATTTGAAAAAAGATTTTCTCAACAGAAAAATTAAAACTAATTTTTTCATCATTTTTATGGCGTCATGTATAGCTGAAAACGTTCCACAGTATGATCATTTCCATTCATCAATGTTCAATACCATTAATGATAAAACGAGATTAATTCATTCACAATTTGAAAAAAAACTATTAATTCGATCATCAACAGCAACAACTTTGTGTGAGAGTAATATTAAAACAGAGACACTATCAACACTTCGTCGATTATCCACATCATTTTGTCACGAGAATAAATCAGTTTCATCAACAACTACAGAGACACATATTAAAAGTTGGAAAATAGCAGACGATAAAGTTAACAGTATTACTAAAAAATCAAGATTGGACTATCTTCAATTATCAAAAAAACGTCAATTGAGTGGTTTAAATGAAAAGAATAATTTGAAATATATTAAAAATAATAATAATTGGACAAGATCGAAAGGTAAATTGATTTATTCATCTATGTGTGGTTCAAAACATTTAGAAATATAAATATGTCAGATGAATTAAATTTTGTTCATCTAGAATAGATGTGAAAATATATCTACTATAGTATGTTTAAATTTAAACTATTGACAAAATTAATTCTTGTACTAATATGAACTCGAACAGATGTGAGCTTCGATTTGTGGTAAAAAAAATTGTGAATAATTGAATGAATATATAACCTAATGATTATTAATATGACTATGAGAAAGAAAGGGAAGTGTGATCTCAAAATATGACACATTGTAATATAATCCATTCTTTATTTTTTTTCCATACATTAAAATAAACATACGCCCTCATATTTTTTCCTTGTTCTTTTACCTAGATGACAATGACGCACCATACAATATGTGTCGTAAAAATAAAAAAATAAATAAAAAGAAAAGTCCTTGCGGCTTTTTTCTGGGTGAAAATATAGCATTCGAGAAACCTGTATTACGTAATTCATTCAGTCATAGTACAGCACAAGAATATTTTGATATAAATACCGATGAAGAACCACAATTTACATCATTACCAACCACAATAGTTACTAAATCTTCAGTATCTGTACCTTACCGAAAACCGACTACCGAGACAGCAATAACAATGTTGTTGTGTGAACAACCTCCAATATTATCATCATTTTTATCTGTAAGTGGTCATTATCGAACCATACCTGAACAGTCAACTTCAAAAAAAGTAGAATCAAAAGATCAAGTTAAGTTATTAACATCAAATCAATTGTCAGATTATTTAGAATCATTATCATCCGATTTTGTTCTTATCGATTGTGGTTCACCATTTCGATACGTTGAGAAACATATTAATAAATCTTTCCTACTACATGTTGCAGATAAATTATCGAAAAAACGTTTGACAACACATGGATTATCCAAATATCTTGATACAACACAAATGAAATTGATCGATAATAGTGAATTTATTATCCTCTATGATGACAATGTGACTATAAATAATATAAAAAACATTTCATGTCCTAATTTAGCAACAACACTCTCAAATAGCGCAGATGGATATCAGTTATCACTCTCTTATTCATCACTTATAATGAATGATAATGGAAATGATACTATATCTTCGTCTCAACTAACTCCATCGTTAAAATGTATCTATGATGAATTAAAACGTTATAATCCATTGAAATCTATTTTCATATTGGATAGACCATTTAACGAATTTTATTGTAAATATTCTCATCTATGTACTGAACAAAAAAATATACCGTCATCAGAATCATCATCACTAGAACAACAACTAAATGAACAGCAATTATCACGTTCAGATATTGAAAATTGTTTATTGATTGAAATAATACCTGGACTCTATCTTGGAAATGAAGCAGATGCAAAAAATTATGATTTATTAGAAAAAAATAATATTAAATCTATTGTTAATGTTACGACGTGTGTACCGTGTTATTTTGAATCAAAACTCGACTATTTACGTTTACCGTGTGATGATACATGTCGACAAAATTTAATCGAATATTGTAACGAAAAAACATTTCAATTTATTCAAAATTCATTGACTAATAAGAAAAATGTACTTATTCATTGTAAAGCGGGTATATCTCGATCACCTGCCATTCTCATAGCATATTTAATGAAATATCATCAATCTGAATTTAGAACAATGAATGAAGCATATAACTATGTAAAAACAAAACGTTCAATTGTATCACCAAATTTAAATTTTATGGGACAACTGCTTCAATATGAAAAACTTTTGACACCAATAATAACAAAAGAATCGTGAGCTTCTTTCTTTTTTCTTGTATATCAAATCAAAAATAATGAATAACGTTCTCAGCGAAAAAAAGAGCCAAGAAGAAATGCAAATGTCAAATAAAAATTATATTGGTCTGAATACAAGATATTAAGTGTTTTTTTTTATAATGTTACTGTTTATGTTATTGTTGTTGTTGTTGTATATTTATTCTTGAGTGATTATGTCCTTTTTTTGTTAGTCTGTTAATGTGAATTTAATGTGCCGTTCCATGTACACATATAATTTCATATGTTGATGTGATTTCAATAGTAAAAAGCTATACATGTTTATTTCTATTCGATTTTTGTGTCCATATGTTTCATACGCTTTTTCTACACTAAAGAACTATGTTGTTTATATATTTATATTCTATTAGTTTTTTCTCAAATAAACCAAAAACTTCCAAGATCTTTTTCAAAGACATGACGTAAAATATGACTGAATGTGTGTTTAATTCAAAAACTATAGAATCATCAATTCATTGGTATATTTATTAATTTTACAAGAACAATCAAATTTAATGGTAAGCTATTATGTGTATGATTTTATTTATCTAAAACATCTAAAATTCTTGATTTAGCTAATCAATTTGAGTTTCACAAAAATCTAAATTAATTATGACGTTGGAAAAGGTGATAATATGTTTAGCATTTTTATTTCATTTCACTTTCTTATAATGTCAAACAAGCAAATAAACCAAAAAATCGATGTAAAAAAGAACAAGAAAATAAGCAAAGTGAAAACAGTAACAAAACCAAAAAGAAAACCAACGAAAAAAAATCATAACCAATTAGTTTTTTTATTTTTTGTTTCTATAAGAACGACTATAACAAACAACAATAGCAATATTCGTGTTATAATATGAGCATTTTGTTGTAGAAAGTACAGACGATACAAAAGAAGAAAAAAGACATGTTGCACACCCATACATACACTAAACTCGAAAAAACAGCACACAAAACATCAGGTTTCCTAATAACAGAGAGAGAGAGAGAGAAAGAGAAAATACGTGTGTGCACAAACAACGTGCAACAATAATACAGGAAAAATAATGTTCCTAACTTTATACTGTGTTGTTTTTGTTTTTTCAATGACCAATCGAGATTTGATTTTTATACTGAAGGAGCTGTTTGTACTGTTGAATTTTTATTACCACCAGTACCACTGCCTCCTCCTCCTCCTCCTCGTCCACCTCTGCCTTTTCTAGAATTTTGATTACGATAATAGCCACTACCACTACCATTATTGTTGTATTGTTCATCATAGCCTCCTTGCATCGGAAATTGTGCATATTGTTGATTCTGATTATACGAATATATTGTACCATAAGATGGACGGAATGTATGAGGAAATGGGCGACGTCTTTTAGCTTCAACATTAATTTTTTTTGTTTGTTGAAGATTTTCTTTATCATCCAAAATACGTTTTGCTGTATCAATTGTATCACAAACGACAAACGCAAAATTTGAACTACGTGGTTGACTACCCGTATTACCAATACGACAACTAATTATTTGACCATATGTAGAAAGATATTCACGAACCTAAACAAAAACAAAATCGCTTTTTTTAAAATAAAATGATGAAACTAGATGTATGTATTAATAAGTATCTACAACCCTCAATTAAAACAATCGATATTGTTGATTAAACATATTTTACCTCATCACTCGTGGCATGAAATGATAAGTTTCCAACAAATATTTCCTGATCATCGGTGTATCCATGTGGATAATACCCGGAGTCGTCATTATATGAATTTACCATACGATTATTTCTATATGAACCATTATAGTTGTCAGTGTTATTACTTGATGCTTTAGCAGTAGGTTTAGCTGTTGCTGGTGTTTCTGATTGATTATTCTTTACATTAGATGAAATTGTCTGTTGTTGTTCAATTTGTTGATGCGGTTTTTGGTTAATGACTGTTGATGAAGATGAGGGTTGTACGGCTATGGCATCACGATAGGATTTTGGTTGTTGTGGTTGTTTCTTAACAGGAAGAGTTGAGCTAGATTCTGTCGTCTTTTCTTGTTGTTCCGGTTGACTTTTTTCATTAATAGTTGTGGCAGTTGAAAATTGTCGTGTTTGAGCACTTGACGGCTGTGTTAAAATTTCTTTATTTGTCGATTGAGGAAAGTCAGATGGTTGTTGTTGAGGTTGTTTTGCAAAAAAATAATTATTATCGTATTGTGGAGTTTGAGACCAAGAATTAGCATCGTTAGTTGAAAAATTTCCATACGATAATTGCTCGTCATTGTTTGTGGTAGTCGGTTTACCCGAGTCAGAACCCGATTGTGGTTGTTCAATTTCTTTTTTTTGTACCGTTGTTGTTGATGTTGTGCCTGTTGATGAATCAGTTCCTGCTGTTGAAAATAAAAAATTAGTTGAAGAAGCAGGAACATCAAAACCAGGCGGTATTAAACTGTGATAATCAGCAGGATATGTGCCTAAATGTCAAAAATAAAAGTTTTGGCACATGTATCAAAGTAATATATAGAAAAGAATACTACTTCACAGAGGCAAGTTATGTTTTTCAGTTCGAGTGACATCCGAAAACTGACCGATTATTTTTAGAAGTTAAAATTCTCTGAGATTCTTTTTTCTAACAACAAATTTCAGTTCACCTAAGCATTTAGTTTTACTCATTCTGTTGAACATTCAAATGATAATTAACAAATGCAAAAAACACTTTGATAATAATGCAAAATTACACATGATTGACTTGAAAATGACTCGAATCAGTTTACATTGAGCTTGAGTCTTAGTGCGAATTATAGAAAAACGAAAGATTCAACATCTCTGCTAGTTTATTTAAAGAGATTTTTCTTACCTTGATCATCTGGTATCAAACTGGTAGAATTTATTGATGGCACTGTTACTGCCAGTATTGGCATTGTCGATGACACTATTGTAGTTGTATCTTGTTGATTTGGATCTTGATAACGAAATATATCATTATGCACATAATATTTGGTTTTTGATTGTGGTACAAGTACAAATGTTTGAACAAAACGTTTCATTTTTGTTTGTTCTCCCTGATTTGATGATGATGATGATATTTCTCCACATACTTGTACAACGACACTTTGAAGAATTGTTGAATGACAATCAACTTGGCGAATTTTAACATGACGATTTTTAAAACCTAATTCTTCGATACGTTGTTGAATATTATCAATACCAATAACAACCGATGACGATGAACTCTTATTAACGTTGGTGTTATTATGATTATTTTTATTTAATACAGATTTTTTTCCTTTTATATCACCATTTCCATTTGTATCTTTTTCTTCATCATTATCAACCTCATGCATAAATGTGCTAGTATTGGAATAAAAACGATGTAATAAATTTGGACATTCGTGCAATAAACGATAATACTGAATAACAAATGCACGACCAATTTGTTGAGGACTTAATTTATCGTCTGACGTGGAAGATGTCATTGTTACCATATTATCAAAGAAAAGAATAACAAGAAAAAATACACACGTACATATACAAAAAACAATGTAATCTAGCGTGTAAAAAAATCTACAAGAAGCATTTTCATGTTAGTCTGATAATTACTGAAAATTTAAAAAGAGAAAAGATATTTTAAAAAATCAAACTTCTTAATCTGTGTAGTACAACAATGTGGTGCATATTAACGTTTTATAATTGTTTAGGTGCGATTTATATCTTTTCAATATATTTTTTTAACAATGCAGCGTATCAAAATTTTTAGTTGCATAAATCAATCAGAAATATAATATCAAGTAAAAATAATTTTTTGTATCAAAATTTATTTAAAAAAACAGTATATAAAATAAAATTAAACAATTCACAAGCAAATATTATATAACTAGAATTGTACGATCTTATTTTGACATTAGACTCTCAACGAAAAGAATTATGATTGACTAAGAAATAATTTAATATTAATCTCCCATATGAAGACATCTCAAAACTAACGGAAGTAAATTACAAAATACAAGAAGCAGTTAAATACAACAAAACAAAACAACAATAGAAACAACAACGAAGAAAAGATAGAATAAAAAATATAAAGTTGATAATGGTAAAGCAAATATATATCTGAATGATCTTTTAATGTTGACAGTCCATAATAATCATTTAGAAAATGTTAGCGACAATATTCATAGTCCTGAAATGGATACAGATGCTCCAACGATTCTTTTTTTCAAGTTTAATTTTGACAGATTTTTGAATAACTTATTTTTACCATATCGCCTAAACTTTAGTATACTTTCTATCTATCTCTTCTTCACTGTGACAAAAAAAGATTTTCAGACAAAAGTGGAATACAAGACACAAAATGTTCAGTGTCCAAACTAGAACGTACGGCTCTAGTGAACATTGATTAATACAAAAAAGAATAGTAAGCGACTACTAAATAAAAACTAACATTCATTCTCTATTATAAAGACGATGTTCATCGAAAGAAGAAGTGAATTTTATAGTTTACTATCTATCTAGTTTACTATATTTCTTGTAAAAGGTTGCTGAAGACGTTTAATATAATTTTCTGGCGCATTACCCTTTGGTAAATCGGTTTTCATATAATAGGCACATAATTCAGCTTTAGTTGAAAATGATGGCTCAAGATGTACATTTAATGAATATCTTTTTGAATTTTCAGGATTATTCTAAATAAAACAAAATATAAACGTAACTTACGCATAGTAGTCTAAGATTTCTAAGCAATATCTGTTTAAACTAGGATAACTCGTCAATCTTTTTTACTTCATTTAGACTAATAGAAACGTTTTTTTTGTTACTGTAAAACTCACATCTTCTTGATATAGATTCCAGCATGTTATCGGCTTATTCTGACCAATATAAACTCTTAGTGACTATAAAAATAACAAAAGAAAAAAACCTAAATTAATTTTTCGTACAAATACCACTCTGATAACCATTACCCAATAAGAATTTTCTCCTGGTGAAGATTTTTTTGACACCATATAAACACCACATTTGTTGATTGATGTCAAAGCTCTAAATAAAATTTTTTATAATAAAACGATAAGAATATAGACTAGAAATAGTAAAATTAAGAAGTACTCCACCTATCCCATCCGTTGTTATCATTATAGATAACGTCGTTATCATATAACTAGAAAATAAGAAAATTCATTTATAAAGGGAAAAATGAAATGATTGTCAAACTTTAGACTTACAGTTTCTTGATCAACATCAGATTGCTTCCTTAGTCTATTCTTCAGTTCCTCTTGTAGTTCTCTGTTAACTGTATCAGCTTTTACAATAGCTCCTATTCCGAAAGGTGTCCTATTTTGAGAACTAGCATTTTGTGTCCCATATACACTCTGCATAGCATTAAATGGTTCATAATGACCACCTAAAAAAACAACAACAAAACTTATTAGAATTCGTTCGCTAAGGTGAATACTTCGACATATCTTTTCGACAAGAGACAAAATCTTCGCTACTAAGACAAAAGTGTATTTAAAAAATGATTTTTTTTTAGTACACAGAGAAAAACTAATTATTTAAATTATAAGACGAAGATATTTATTGATAAGGTGATGGTGTAAATGTTTTTCCTTTTATTATATAGATGATAAAAAGTAATCAAAAATTTCATATAGACGAACATTTCAATAAGATTTATAAAAATCATACCGTTCTCCTTTGGCGATATTATATGATATTAAGACTTTAACTAGAATTGGATGTTAATGGACCCATAGATGGTGTTGATCTACTACTTACTAATCAACAATTTGTCAGAGAAAATATTGGTTTGTAGATTAGTTGCAGATTGTGTACATAGTAGTCCTTCACTATTAGTACGGTTATTGTTTCTTTCATATGAAATCATATTTTCTGGTGTACTGCGAACTGACATTCGATGATTTTGTCCCATTGATGAACTAAAGAAGAAAAGTCTCTATTGAATATTACAAAAAATAGCAAACAAACAACATACTATCCATCATCTGATTGCGTGTTTTGTCCTGTTGGACTGGAAACTTGCGGTAATGATTCAGAAGAGGAGGTTTCTAAGCTACCAGCATTCGTCTCTAAAATAAATTAAATAAACTAGCAAATGATTCTTAGCCGTATTTATTGTTGAATAATATCCGATTCATAACAGAATACTCATCATTCATATAAAAGTACGCTAGCTGATTATATTTTTGATCTAATAGAAAAATCAAGTTGATTTTGAAAAAGTTAATTATAAACAAGAGATTTAACGCAAAAGTAGATTCGATGAAAATATAATCTTTCACAAAATCAAAGAACTAAATCTTTAACATTAGAAGTAAGAAAAATTAGATTAACATCAATTTTTCCAATGAAAGGAAACAAAAGAGAAGCTAGTTCAACGATCAAAAAACAAATTTTTTGAATAGTGAGAATTGATCAATCGTAAAAAGAGTAGATCACAAGACGTACGAAGAAAAGGAGCAGCAGCAGTAGCCAGATGAACATTAGCATTGATTAATCATTTTGATCCAATAAATAATTCTAATACCGAAAACTTTTCTTCGACTGTCACGACTAATACTAAAATAAATCAAAAGTTCTTAGATTGAAATCAGACAAGAAGAATGAAACTTTACCAATTATTAGTCAATATTGATGGCACATCTGTCTTCGCTGAGTCATATATAGGACGAATATACGCCTTTGAAAGAGATTCTTCAAATATTTTCATCCATCCCTAAATAAATAAGTAAATAATGGATAAGGAACTTTTTTAGAAGACGAAGTTGAGGCTAAAAAGAGAACGATTGCCTATTTATGGTGAAATTTGAAGTGAAGAGAGAACGGTTAGAATTCTGAATTCAAAAAATGTACCATCCTATCAATTAATAGTTTGCTGTGTGCCAATCTGTTAGAATAGTAAACTATGATCTCTATATATTTGACATTGTGCGCAAAAGATTACTGCGCTCAAAAGTAGAAGTGTAGAGCAAGACTAGATTTTTTCGTTCTACCACGTTTTTGTTTTGTTTTGTTTTGTTCTAAAGGTATACGATGTTTTGAAATTATATGGTGGATAAAAGTATTTGCAAGTCTAACTATATGTTTACAATACAAAAGAATCTGTACGAACTATCTCAGCAGATACATACTACATATTAAAATGATTGAACTATAGAAATGTATTGTTACTAAAACAATTAATCCAATCTTGAAGATTCATTATTCAATATGATTTAGGAACGCATAATTTTGTTAAGAATATAGTTATTTTACTATTTACGTATCGATGCATAAACATGACAACGCGTGCATATAAAAAATTCTACTCATACATAGGTCATATCAAAAGTTGTATTGCTAATATTTCATAAAATATACTTTATCTTCGTAGTATTTTATTTTATTTATTTACAATCAAGACATTTCGATCGCCATGTGCAATCTTCTTTCCAAGATTCTAGACGCAAAGAGGACGGTCTGTAAATTCCCAATATTATATCAATAATTTCCTAAAACTATTTGTCAACGAAATGAGAAGACAAAGATTATCAGATAGTACTCATAACATCAAAGTTTATAATGACAACGTCCGACTCATAAAAATGTTTTACTATCTCGAATCAGAACGTGTCATAAAACCCACCTTGTTACACGGGTACACTACTATGTAATTTTCAGGCGCTTTGTCCAATTGATAAACTTAATCAATCAAACGATTCCTAACCATAGCATTAAGTGCTATAACCAAGATGATGAATGTTTTAATCAAACATGATTCGAAAAAAATTTCTAACAAATGTCTTGAAACAAATTAATTATGCGTGAGTAATCATGACTACTAGCTCAACTACTTGCCGAAGTAAAATCTTGATTCTGCGGCGAAAAAGCTCTATTCTGTGGCGTTTTATCCCGAAATGTCAGTACTTTTGGTATGATCTAAGTAACTGTGTACGTACATAAGGTGGAAAAATGACCTCTTTTAAAACTGTTCTCATCATCATCATCATCATCACTCGGCTGCTCTGGAGCAGGCGACCACAAACTGTTCTCTAAACACCGTAAAAAATAATTCTTCATTTAGACAAAACTCCGTTCTCTTTTCGTATTTTCTCCATAAATAATACTAAAAAAGATAACAAATCGGTAGATGTATGCAATGTTGTCATCATAAGACTCAATTGTGATGAGAAGTATTCTTGCTTATTCAAGTTCATATAAATTTAGGGACAAGTTGTCACAAGTTCAATAACCGTATCTTTATCTTACCGATCTTAAATAATCTGTTTCAGCAGCAAATAACTCATCTGGATTATTCCATCTGGAGATTAATTCAAAAAATGAAACGTTGTGATCGGGAAATGTACGTTTTGATCGATCCGACACACTATTATAAATAAATACATGCATAAATTTATGTATGCATATTTATTATTTGAAGAGTCGAAGTTTTTACCTTTTATATTCAGATAGATCAAGATAAAGATAGGGTCCTCTTGATATCTTTTTTGCATAAAGATAAAAACTGAGTTGAGATTCTCCATGATCAACCACACAACCCCAATATTTTTTCTTAACTAAAAAAGAGTTGATTTAAAACATTAATCCACAAAACAGAACATCATTCCTAATTAAAAGAATTCTTCAGAAATTCTTTCAAAGGAACAAAATGCAAGGATGCGTCTACTCTCCGCTCTTTTGAGTAATGTGAAGAGTGCGAGTATTTATATGTACAGCTCAAACTATTCATTTATTCTGTAATCTTGAGTGGAACCAGTTTCCGTCAATATTTGAGCGAGCAATTGCACAATAGCGATACAACACAACGGCAGAATCGCATCAACTACATACACTGGAGAGTATCATGTCAGTTCGACGGTCATGGAATGTCATTGCTCTAGTCTTAGATGTTTTTTGCGATGAATTTTCAGAAACCTTACTATATGGCAAAAGAACCGCATTCTATTAACATCTCTTCAAAAGAAAAATTGAGTTTAAACATTTCTAAGATGACTTTTAACATTATAGTTGTTTAAACTTAATTTTTGTTTTGAACGGATGTTAATGGAATACGGTTCTTTTACAATATAATCAGGGTCACGGAAATCCATTGCAAAAAAACATCTGAGACTTGAGTAACGGCATTCCTGATCGTAGGACTATGTGACAATTAATTATCTCCTACAGAGAGAACAGCTAAGTTCTTTTCAAGAAAGATACTCGTTTTATAGGACTAATTATAACGATTAAAGGATAAAAGACAGAAGTTTTTCTACTGAATTGCTGAAGAGACGCGAACAACTAAAAATATAACTGATGACCAATTATTATACATAACTGTGCAATGATATTTTAGATTGCTCATATTTGTGCCACAATTCAGTTTTAATTTCTTTCCTTTCAACAACTACATAGAGCAAACATTTCTCTACAAAATGAGACATTTGGCAGCTGAGAATGATTCTTAATAAACGCGTTATTCTAATTTTCCTAGATGTGCTGATATCAGTTATATAACCGGTGCACGTCTATCTCCAACAATTATACTTTCGATTAATCCTTTTTCCAAATCTATACGACCGAGTGGACAGAGAAAACATAGTGTGGAAGAAAATTTTTTTCTTTAGTTAAAAGTAATATGTCGTCTGTTGTTTCACACAGTAGATTGAACTACTTTCTTACTCTGTTGCTTCTAAAGCGATTCTAAACCCGTTAATATGAAGCACGAATTATGATAGCCAAACCTTCTCGTTTTACTGTTTCTTAATTTGACATAAGCTATTGTTTTTGAATGAAACTTCAGTTTAATTTACGTGAAACATAATGTATATTGAAAGACTTTAATACCTTTTTCTGTGCGGGAAAAATACTATACACATCTTCAAAATAGACAAAAAGAATATCTTCATTAAATGGTAATACTTTCATGCGAAAAAATCAGACCACAGCGGAAAAACTCACTTAACATTATGAGGTGACAACGCTCAATAGAAGACCAGATTATTTTGGGGGTGAGCAGTACAACATAATAAGAAAAAATTGCGCACTTACAGAAACTAACTGCTTTCACTTTCTTATAACGATACCATATGCTGTCTTCATAAATAATAAATTTTTGTATCGAGTCATAAGAATGGTTTCTTCCATCATCTCTATCAACTGAATATTGATAATAAAAAGAAGACAAAAGATGTAAACCATCTACATTCACATACACCTATTTCATCATTTAAACTTACATGCCATGACACAAATCTATAAATAAATTATTAAAGCAATTATTCAATCTTGATTAGACCTGCACACCTTTGCATGAAAGGTTTTCTTTTTCAAATATAACCAATAACAGATTCAGTGAGACATTTTCGAAAGACAAAGTGCATGCTAATCAATACAAAAAGCAAAAAATGTTAAGTGGGCGCAATTTATTGAAAAAATATTATAAAATAATCATTAAAAGCTTTCGTCATCCCAATTATTTTGCTTATCGAATGTGTACGGATATTTGAGATAATTTTGTTCGAAGATATTTTGTGTTGGTAAGGGATTTTCTCTGTAATAAAGACATAACTCTGGTATTGATGAAAAACAGGGACCTTCATCTGGTTTTAAAGAATATTCTTGTGACTAAAAAACAATAGAAAAAAACATAATAACTTGTGGGAAAATATGAAGACAATCTTTCCTATAACTTACATCTAAACGATTTATCTTATATTTTTTAACACCGGTAGATGTATAAAGACTTAACACCTAAACAGAAGAACAAAAACACAATAATCACTAAACGTTCAAGCCGTGTGTTAACATACATAATTTTTTAGAGAAACTCCAGTTGATTGAGGACGAACAAGAAATACACCACAACGTCCAATTAAAGTTAACACGCTAAGAGAAAAAGAAAAACAAAAGAATAAATCCAGGCGATGACAATTACTAAAAATAGAGAGGATCATCAGAATGCGCTTTTCATTAATATGATACGTGTTAGAACTTATTGCACGCTTGAAAGAAAAACGTTAACGGAAAATAGACAGAAAACTGGCAATCAGAGTTATTTTGTTTGATTAGAGTTTCGATAATTCTCGTATGAGAAGATAATGTTTGGTCTTCTTACTCTGAAGCATCCTGTACTTTGCTATAATAAATATTGTCCCACACCCAAGGCTGAAATAATTCACAAAAAAACTTTACGATGTGAAAAGTATAAGAGTTCAACTTTGTTACTTCACATTTTGTCTGTGGATTAATCATCTGTGAATCCATATCTTGTTTCGTTGGTCTCAATTTTACATTTTGTATTTCCTGACTCAAACTTAACCGATGATCTTTTTGCGATGTTGTATCAACCTTATCGTAAGGTTTCGAGATAGGAGCAACTGTTTTTGGTTGTTGTTGTTGTGACTGCACTTGAGGACAGGATACTCTTCGTTCCAAATTGGTTGTTGGTTGAATATTAAGGTAACGAAGAAGTGGAGGAGATTGTAACATTTGGTCTTGCGTCGGAGAATGATTAGGCGGCGCAACAGGTGAAGCGGAGGTTTGCGGTGAGAAAGGTATGTCTTCTATTTAACACAAAAATTATAATATTGATTATGTTTTCGTGTTATACCTATTTCACCTCTTATGCTCCACTGTTTGTTATGAGCTTCCTGATCAGACTGTTCATCAGGTTTTATTCTAAAATAGCAATTACTTTTGAAAAACCTGCCATTCTCTCTGCTCGCGTAATGATATCACTTACGAATCTAGAAAGACAAAAAAGATAATTTAGGCTCTTAGATAAATATAGTATCTACTACGTAAATACCAAATGCTTCATAATTAATATTTCCTGTTGACGTGTCGTCTAGAATGTAAATTCAGAATTAAACATAATTCTCTGTCTCGAGCAAATGTGTAAGCTTTTTTCGAAATATCAGTGGCAAATACGAACTTTTCGATCAATTTAGATTATGTTTTGTGTTGCAATATAATCTGTTTTCAAGAGCAAAACGGACTCAGCTGAAAATTTATCAGGAATTGAATGAATCTTTTTAATGAGCTTATTATTCAAAGAAAAGAGCAAATTAAATGAAAAATTCTTTAATTTAAAATATTCTAAATTTAAAATATTCTTTCTTATTACTTTTCTTCTTAGAACATAATCAAAACGAATTATGTGACTCTTGATGGTGAGCAAAAGGATAATACAGTTCTACAATATTAATTATTCATTCAACTATCCTCGCAAGATTCAACAAGTAATAAGCTTTTTATGAGGTATACCAGGATGAGAAACATGTATCTTTTTACTTAATCTGGAGCGATCAGGTGACAGTGCATTCGAACTAAAAATAGCAAAAGAGTAGGCATTGTTCTACCAATGCAAAAAATCGTATTAGTTAAATTAAATTGTGCAATAGAATAGAAATCGTACTCCCAAGGTGAATCGAATTTCTTTATAAGCAAATAATCTTACTCCGATGCAGATGTGTTGTGAATTTTTGTTAACATTTCAGATATGTGCTTCATCCAAATCTAAATAATGCAAATATATTTTAAAATAAAGTTTTTTTTAACTCAGATAAACTTAACTGTACGATCATTGACGTCGGAAGCTCCGAATATTTCTGAATTATCTTCTCCTCTTAATTCGAATAAATAGCATTTTGGTACAGGACGAATGGTGCGAGTACAATTTGTCACGCTAAACAAAGATCAATGAGTTACTTTAATAGCAGATGTCTGCTGTTTGTATATAACATTACCTTGTATATTCGTCTAATGGAAGATAGGTAAGTAGGCGAGATCTATTATTTCGATATAAATAGATGCCAGCAACCTGTTTATCAGCAGTTGGAATAAGAGCCAAAACAGCGTAATAGGAAGCAACTAAATTAGATAAAATTTTTTATTTATACATATAAATAATCGAATATCATACTTTGTGAAATATTTAAGACCGGTATGCAATTATAACGATAAAAAAGGAAACCTTCATGAATGATCCATTTTTTACCCAGATAACTATATTTGAATAAACGGTGATCAGTTTTTGAGCCTAAAAATGCGAGTGACGTTTCTGAGTTAAGAAAAAGTTAGACAGATTTGTGTGATTACAGTTACTCGGTCTGGCTTTCTATCTTCTTTATCACATACCCATTAGAATTCTGTTGTCTGTTTCCGTTAGTTTACATCTAGAAGAAAAAGTAAGATATATCGTTAAATTGAGTTATTAATCACATATTCTCTTCTCCAGCTTAACAGTTGAGATTTGGAAAAAGTTACACGAAGTATCTTTTAATTTATTTCTTGTTTAAATTAAAAACGTATCTCCTATACATGAGATTGAACATCAAGTGAAAATATTAACAAAGAAATGAGTTGAAGGAATAAAGTAAATACGTGCAGATGAAAGATAGAAAAATATTTTTACAAGCGTTTATTATAATGATTTTTCTAATATTTTAATTGCAACCACCTCTTAATGCTAATACCAAATGTAAAACACAACCTGCCGTAACAGCATAATCTTGAACAGTTTTCTCATCATTCATTTGTTTACCAGAAAAAATTAAACGTTGTTGAGGTGGAGGAATACCTTGAAAATAAAAACAAATCAAATAGTAACAGCATAATACAAATATTAAGCTTTTTACCTTCTTTTTCTTCAACACGTTCTTTTATACGTTCAATTTTATCTTGCGGTTCAACATCGACTTCAATTTCTTTACCAGTTAATGTTTTAACTTTGATCAACATTTTTACAATTTTTTTAACACTGTAATCTTGAAATAGCAAATAAAAAATGAGAGAGAAATTGTTTAATTTATCTAAATTAATTTTATAACGCGCGTTAAGCAAGCCAATTATCTTCAAAATGCAAAATCTAACTAGAAATAAATAGCACAACATACAAGCACATAGTACGGTAGGGATACATGCACATTTTGCATTCATCATTGGAAATTATAGAGAATCAAAAAAAGAGTATGAAAATAATTCCAGCACAAAACTCTAGGCAACATAGAGTGTATACCATTCTCAAGATTAGACACGAAATGATTCGCTTTGAAAAAATTCAGCAGTTCACCTTACATGATGCTTCAAATAAAAGAAATAAATAGCAACTTTCGTTGTCTAGGTAAGAAAGAGAAAATAATAAAATTTTACTATATCGACAGAAGATAGAGAGAGAGGAACTGCAGTATTGCATAGAATATCCATTTTGCCTAAAAATAATATAAGTCAGAGCTAATCAAATGATACCTTTAAGAGTAGAAATTTTTTCATAAAACTGACTCATTTCTTCTCTCTTTCTCTCTGACTCCCTCCCTCAGCTGATTCTATAAATACTCTTGTTGTTTATAGCTCGTAATCGTTAACCAGCACTCGGTCGAAATAAACATTATATCGGTAAATGTGAAAATGTGAAAACTAAGCGATCTGAACAATTTAATAACTAAGTCTAAATCTAAAACTACTAAAAAGTTTCAAATTAGATCTCAAAAACCTTTTGTTGCGATATTATCTCTAACCGATTCATTTATGCACTTAACATGGTATATTTTGGAACGGGAACATAGCATTTTGGATTAGCGAAAAGACTCCAATCATAACGCTTACTTGAACGAATAACCTGTTGTGCTAAGTACAAGTAACGCTCATCATCACCGAATTGCCTGCCACTTACCAAAAGGATGCTCATTAGTAGACATCTTTGTCCAATTCTAGACAGGACTGGGACTTATAATCACAACATGGCTTTGTAGCCGCTGTTTCCTTTTAGCTCCAATGAGAGACTATCTACGTCAGTTCGCATTGATCTGACTGCTTGGAGCTACTATTTGGAGCTAAAAGGAAACAACTATTTGGAGCTAAAAGGAAACAACTATTTGGAGCTAAAAGGAAACAACTATTTGTAGCATGAGATACCGTAGAAAAGCTACATTGAAGGTTAAAAGGTCTTTGGCTGTCGATTAACAAAAGGTTAAGACTAAAGGCTAAGACTAGTTTACTCACGAAAAGTGAGAATCATAAAAGGTCCTCGACCTTGAATATCAATGACTCAAGTCAAACTACAAAAATGAAATAGGGAAGAAGAAATAACAGGAATAAACACAAGAAAAAAAAAGAAAAAGAAAGAAACTAGAGTATGTAACGTAGAGATAAAGTAACAATGAAAATAAGCACAAATAAAATAGCATTAAAGAGAACAACTAACACGAGTTTATTTTGACTGGAACATGGACGAATTTTACCGTAAAAGATACTGAGCTAATGTCTTTTTATTTTGAAAGACGTTAAAGGAGAAAAACAAATAACAGACTTAGGAAGTTTATTTCAGTCAGTAATAAATGAATAGAAAAAAGAAAAAAAGCTTTTCCAGGTCTATAAGTTAAACGATAAAATCATACAAAATCCTATCGTTTCTGTAAGATTCTATAGGAAACTGCGGTGAACGGAAATCGTATAGAATTTGGTCACTAATAATATAATACTTCATTTGTTCGGTCAAGGCGCTTTCGTCACAACGCACTTTCGTCATATGGGGGGGGGGGGGGGGGGCAAAAAATTTGGGAAATTTGGCCCAATGGGGGTTTTTTAAAAAAAACAGTGGGGCCGTTTTTGGAATTAATTTTGGGGGTATTTTTTTGGGGG